TCTGAGGATCCCATTGAGAGGAGATTCGATTTCATTCATTAGATTGAGAGACATTTCTTTCGAAATTGTAACAGATGATGAATTAGATGATGGTACATTCACCATTAATTGTAATATGATCATCAGAAAGGAAAAACATATTGGGGAAGATAATGATCGTGAATTCAGATTGTATGGTAAGAAGGATCAGAAATACTGTCCTGTATTCAATTTAATTAATTACCTATTTAGAAGAACTCCTAATCCATTTGAAGAATATCAGAAAGGAATGAGTTTCAAATCTTTCTTATGCAAGCGAAACTTCAACCTGAATTCAAGTTTGAGTGAACAACCCCTTTTTACTCAAAAAGAATCAAGTAATCCAGCCACCTCCAAAGATCTTTCAAATTGGTTGAAGAATTCTTCCAGAGACAAATTGGGAATTACTTACTCCATGAGATCATTGAGATCCGGTTGTATAATCTTACTATATGCTACATTATGCATTATCAAAGGAACTCCAACTCTTGAAACAGGAGCATCCATTCCAATTAGAGCAATAGTTGGTCATATGAGAGACGAATCTATCAAATTTTATATCAGAAAAGCTGTCACTCTCTGCCATAATTTTACTGACCTACAAGATGGTATCTCCGCAAAGAAATTGGATATTAATGATGTTGAACTTAATTATTGTTTGACTATTCAGAAGTGTTGCTCTCATTCTGAATACTTAAAATGTCCTGAGTTTATTTCAAATTATATTAAGAACAATAAGGTTGATAGAAGAACTTGGATTCCAAGAGGTAGGCCTCATTCTAATCCAAATTTAAAGAACCAACGCCACAGAGCTGCCACTGATATGAAAAAGTACATAATTGCAAATTATCCAATGCTAAATCTTGGAGATCCAGCTTTAAAAAGGAAAGATGTAGCATGGGAATCATTCTTTGCAGCATGTGGAACATTCATTACTGAAAATGAATTAGATATTGACCCGTATGCCGATTTATCCAAAGCTCAAAAACGAGATAGAAGAAACAAAATGTCTGCTTTGAAAAAGTGCCTTAATATTCTTTATGATGAAAGAGATGATGATTTAAAGACCAAAAGTCAATCTAGATTGGATGAAATCATCGTTGGAGCTGAAGCTAATTGGGAGATTCCACAGAGTGCATATAATCCAAAATCCAAGAAGAGAAAGGTTGTTGCGGAATCTGAATCTGAATCTGAATCTGAATCTGAATCTGAATCTGAATGACTAA